AAAATGTTGTTGTTGTATACCAATAAAGCCAGGTGTCATGACCATTGCGATACTTTTGTTGGTAAAAAATAAGAATATTAATATTTTACATCATTATTATTCATAATGTTGTTGGAAATTTAAAAAAGTATTTTTAATGCTAATTATTTATTTTCTAATTATTTGTTTCAGATACATGCATTATGGCATACAGCAATGATGATCCCAGAGATTAAAAGTAAGTGGTTAAGAAAGTGTATGATGCTTGGTTCAATTAAGTTTGTTATTAATTAATTAAATTTTTAGTATATATAACACATCTACCAAGAGCATTCACGATAGTTTTAAGTATTTTATATTTTTTGGTAGCAATAATTGCAATATATGGTATAAATGCATTACGTATGGTAATTATTATTTCTACAAATCACTTAGTATATATTTCATTTTTCAACTAGTTATTATTATTCACTAATTTCAAAAAATTAAAAAAAAAAAAGAATGATAAAAACAAAGTAAAAATATTTTCAATTATATATTGGCTTTCAGTTGTTTTATTGTTAGTTTTACATTTGGTTCAATTGATTTTAGCATTTAAATGGAAAGATGATACAATGTATAATTGTCAAGATGATATAAGATATTGGGTACCATCAAATTCAAGTACTGTAACTATGCCAGATGATCCTAATGCCACTACAATTCAAGAAGTTGGTGATGCCTGTGAGGCTGCTACTAAATTAGCATTAATATTTTATCTGGTTGATTATTTTCTTAAATTTATTTTTTTGGTAAGTTACCTTTTTTTTTTTTTGGCAAAAAGAAATTTATGTGATTTTTTTTTAAAAAAAGTTTGACTATTTCTTTTTATAGATTCATTTTGGAAGAGTGGTACATTCATATAGTAAAGTATTATTTGAAGAAAAGATTGATAATGGAGAGGATCGTGAAATAGAAAAAATTGATTTAGAAGATGATGATGAAAAAAAGGATAAACAAAAAAATGATGTAATTCTTCCTAATGCTACTACTAATATTAACACTATCAATAATAATGGTGGTGATGATGAAATTTTGCCACCTTCTTTAACAACCGCCAGTTCGGTCTCCTCTAAATGATGTTAAATTCAATGAATTTGATAAAGAATCTAAAGAAGTTGTGTTGATAAGAATAAGACATAGATAGAAATAGAAATTTACTAGTTTACTAATTTATTAATAATTGATAATTGTATTTTTAATTTATTTATTAATTGATGATTATATTTTTAATTGTAATAATAATTATCAATTTATTTTTTTTTCACAGATTAAATAAAATTTTAAAATTTTTTGGCATATATTAAATAATCAATTTTTACTCTTTTTCTTCAGATTTACTTGGTTCAAATTTCAAATTATTATATTCACCATCTTTAAATTGTTTTGACCACTAATCAAAATGATAATAATTCTATTAAAATTGATTATTTTCATTTACTCTATTATATAAAAATAAATAAATATTACCATCATGGAAGGAATCCATCTAGTTGGCTTATTATGCCTCCACTAAAAATAATAATTATTATTATAATATTATAGTTATAATGGATCCAATCAATTGATATAATAATATAAATAATATTAATGATTTACCTCATGATCACTAGAAATCTTCCAAATAACTCCTGTCATGACAATTATTCCAGCTGCACATATAGCAGTATTACTCTTCCAATTTGATGGTCGAGTCCACCAACCCCCAGCTATAATTATTTTAAAAAACATTAATTATTAATTATTCCATTATGGTAAAAAATAAATTTAATTACCTGGTGACCTATATATGTTAATTGATTAAATTAGTATAACAAGTAATAAATAAAATAAATGGCAAAAGAATTAAAACTTACCAAACTTGTTTTGGATATGGATATCGTTTCACAGCTCCCTACGATAAACAATAATAAACAATAATGATAATGATAGATTTTTTTAATTCATCAAACACTTTTTCATTTAAAAAAAGAAGCAAATAATAAATATACCATATTTTATAATAAAAATAAAATAGAAAAACCAGGATTTTTTGATTATCATGTCATATTTGTTACACGATAGAAATTCATTTTTATATATATCACACGAAGATCTTCTACTAAAATGTAAAAGTGATAATTGCAAGCGTCGACGACACTATTTTATGGTAGAAAATGTTTGGATGTATTGTAGCAGGAAGATTGGTGAGGAATAAGAAATTCAATAATATGAAAGAGCGTTTATCTATATATTTTTAATTATAGGCCTATTTCAATCAATTTAAATTTTTTTTTAGATTCAAACAAACCTTCAACAAGTGGATGTGAATAAGTATATATTTGAATTACCAGATGCAGCAAGTATAAATCATATTGTGGTATTTTTACTTGGTACAATTCCATTTGATCCAGGTTATGCAGCAACAGTACACTTTTTATGGCCAGGTAGTGAAGGTGGTTGGAAGTTGTTGGGGATGTAAGTAGATATATTTTGCCTGAATTTTATGTATGATCTTTTTTTAGTAACAAAAAATTTTTGGGGTATAAATAAACAAAGGCTATCAAATGAAAAACCTAGTGCAATTTTTAGACTTCGTGGATTTTCCACATCAAAATCTACTTCAACATTAGCACCAAATACAAATACACCTACATTCAATCCAATAAAATTAATTGGGAATTCAACTACATCAACAGATGAAATGTCAATGGATTTGAATGATTCAACATTATCAACAACAAATCAATCATCATCATCAGAACCAGTAACAGCAACTTTAGGAATAGCTATTGAACCTATTTCAGTAGTAGAAGCTGAACTTGCAACTTTACCATCAAGCAATTCATCAAACACAATTTCTGCTACAAATGGTACAATACCAAATTTTGATCTTATCAATCAAATTACTATGAACATACTAAAAAATCTTTATAATTATGTTACTTCATTTGCTACAACTTCAATTCCTTTTGGTTCTGATGCTATTGGAGCTGGTGATTTTTTTTTGTCATTAAAATCATTTCAAGATTGGTATGATAGTTATACTAGAAAAGTAAAGATGGATCCAAATAAGGTATTAAAAGGGGACAATCCTATGTAAATAATATATAATCTTTGTATACATCTACAACACTTTTTATATTTTTTATTATGACTATTATATTTTTTCAGCAATAACATACCAATTATCTTTATCATAACCTGACTTCAGTATTTTTGCCAAATTTGTATTTATCACTGGCTTGTCCAATTCACCTTTTTTAAATAAATGACAACATCTACCAATTATCATGAATAGTATAATTAATTATCAATGCTATTTATCAAACAATAATCTTTTAAAGAGTATTGTTTAAATACCTTTTAAAAACCACATTCTGTTTTCTATCTTCATAATTTTTATCTTTTGGAATCACCCATGGTACAAAAACATCTTGATAATTTTGATTAAAAATTCTTCTTGGTTCTCCACCATCACTACTAGCTTCAGCACAATTAGGATTTTTCTTTGGTGTTGATTGTTGTTCCAATGCCCATACATATATTAATATCTTAGAATTTGGTTTAGTTATTCCTGTCACATATATAATATATATGTATTATTATTCATTTTTTTCCAATATATTATTGTCATGATAATTGTAATCAACATTATCTGTTTGTTTGCCTTGATTGCTTTAACACGACTTTCTGAAGTTGTTGAATGATGAATGACAGCTATAGAAATTACAAAATCTAAAAAAGCATTAGATAAAAAATAAAAATAAAATCAATATTCCGAAAAATGAATGGAATAAAGATACAAAGCATCCATTTCTAAATGGTAAATTTAATGCATCATCTATTAAACATTCAAATCCTCTTGATTTACATATCTCAATTAATTTAGAACTTCTGTTTTTTTTTTAAAAAAATTTTATAAATTTGAAGAATCTGACAAATTGTAAAGAATATATATATCCCCTTCTATTGATTCATTTATTTTACCTATCTGTCCCAATCATAAAAGTATTTTTATTCACACCAAAATATTTACCGTTTCCACAACCTATATCAGCTCCCATACTACCCATCTCCAATTCTTTTAAAAAATTCTCAACTACAGGCCATGGCTTTTATTTCGTTTTATTAGTAAAGAGAATTTGATTAATTGATTGCAAATTAAATCGATTCATTTTAGTACCTTATATCTAGTTTGGCTAAAGTGTGGTGCAATAGCTTCATAAACCTCATGTACATATTTTTCTTCTTTTTTTTCATCACTTAGATTCGAACTATATGTATCTGTAAATGCTGGAGTTGGCGCAGGTTTATCGTGCGAAGAGGAGGAAGCGGAAGAAGAAATGGTGGACATATTTTTTTCTACAAAAATTGAAACAAAAAAGTTTTAATTTGGATTAATCACATGATAAATTTGATAAAGTTGATTGGATGGTTGACTTGAATTACGTGATAGATCCTAGGAGTGAGTGAATGCAGGGTTCTTTTCTCGATCATCATCCTTAGTTTTGCAAATACTTCAAAAGTACTTGAATATGTGCAATTAGGATTTATACCCTATGAATTCGATTAGAGAATTAGCGGACCCACATATTTAACTGGCTTAACCAGATGCAAAAACTCCTAATAATAATAAGAAATTTAATTAATCAAATCCCATTTTGTGTTCCTTGTAACAAACAATAAAAGCAATAAATAGCCGATATGGTGTAAAGATAATTACAAAGCGCTTTGTAGAGAAGTAAGCCACTCGAGACAAAAATTGGAGGGTCCTTATACTCTGAAAGATAAATAGCAACACATCCTAGAATTAGGGAAACAAGCTTAAAAGAATGTAATTACATCATAGAGAGTTTTTTCTATCATCATTCATATAATGATGACGTAATATTCAGTATTTAACGACAGTAAATGTACTTTAATAATTAGGAAATTTCATTTTTAGGAATATAGAATCATTGTGAATATTCATTAACCTCGCTTATACAGCTTTTCTTCGGAACAAATATAAAGATTCTGCTTATGATAACAAGATTAATGGAATAAACATTCAACCATGGAAGTTATACAACAATTTGAAAATTTGTGAACCAAAGCTCAAAACTTTCATTCTTTTATTCCATTTTACAAAGCAGACAATTGGTCAGGAGGCATCTCAAATTCATAAAACGAGACAGCAATCTATATAACATACTAGTGCCTGTGAAGAATTCGAGTAGCCAGCTCGCTGATTGTTTGTTTGCAATCTTGCAATCATTTCATCAGTCTGTCATCCTTAATTGATCCACGTTACCATCACATTTCTTTCTGATGAGCATTTACAATCCGTGATTAACTTTTCAAAATACATGATACAGATGTTATTACTTTCTTGTGTTTCAGCTTATAACAAATGGCTTAGAGAGAAGTTTGCAACGAGGATCGGATCATTCTTGTCGGAACACATATAATTATTCTGAACTATCTCAAGGAGTTAGGGATTATATGATTAAGTTGAGTTATTGGTGTTAGCATACACAACTACAGATGTGGTTGAAATAAACATGGATGATCTTTGGCATAAATATTATTTTTTTAATAATCGAATTATTGGATTTTAATTTTTTTTAATTATAATATGTTTTAGATGGTTTAATTACAAAGTTGAGGAAACCAATTCATAAGCGGATCTAGGTTGTATTATTTATCATCAAAAGTCGCAGTCCAAGATCATCTAAAAATTATAATGACGCGTCAAGAAAATGTAAAAATTAAACTATTTTGTCAAAAGATCGCACCTCCGTCACCAGAAAATTTACATATTGTAATATGTAGAATATTACTGATCGACTCGCTAAATGTCATGTTAGAAACTTTGGAACAGCTATATAGTTATACTGAAAGAGAAAATATTTCGCTAACTCGACAAGTTATAATATATTAAAAAAGTTTTGGCTAGAGGCAATCAGCATAAAATTATTATCTGGAGGGCATTAAATCTCTAACTTGGAAATCTTGTTGATCCCAAAAAATGAATTGAGATGATAATTTGAAACTCAAAAGTCGGAGATCAATATCTGACAATACATCAGTTCTGGAATCAGGAGTGACTATGTATCCGACGAAGAAATCTGAAAACATGATCTAGGATTTATTATACAAGGAACTCATTCTACTAAATAAAAACACACAATTTTAACTCTTACTGATAATACTATGGATGATGGACTTGGGAAATGTATTGAGCATAATTATCTAATTCTATTTAAATAACTTAAAAAAGCAATCAAAAGAATTACATGGCAAAGAAAATCTTCTCAAGTGAGTGAAACAAAAAAAAGTAACCCCCTGTTAGATTTATACCTTTGGATTGATTACTCCAATCATCTATCTTATATCAAGGATATTGAACAATTGTGTAATGTTAAACAGCTAGTTTGCTAAACTTTGAAATTTATTGTTTTACTTTGCCTGGTTTTTGATATGCAATTAGCCATTGAAATTAGTTATGTTGGTGTGCAAATTTGTTATTAAAACAAAACGTTTGCATTATTTATTTCGATCGATTAACCAATTGACCATTTTGTAATTGAAAATTCTTCCTGACCCTGGATGTATTGTATTAGTATTAATGAAATTTAATATAATACATCTACATTGAAATATATTTGTTTAAGCGGTATTGTTCTTTACTATATGACATACATTGTATATTTATAACTTTTATAGATGAATTGTCTAATGAATTGTTTTTTTTAAAATATATACTTGATAAAATGAAATAAAATTCCAAGTTATTCGAAAAAAAAAATAAAAATGTTATTATCAGAAGCCAATGGATTATTATATTTAACGCTTATGTTTGGTGCCGCCTCAACGGTATTCGAATAATTAATTAATAATTAATAAATAATAAAAATGATTGTTATTCATATGAAGTTTAGCCAACAATTATCCAACAGATTGTTTCTTTAAATTTTGCATTTGTTCCTACCACTTTAGGTGTTTTTTCATAACACCGTAGTTTCGATTTCAACTGCACGAAAAAGAGCAAAACCAAATAAAATTGAACTCAGGATTAAAGGACTTTCGCGTTGTCGTTATCGTTCAATGTATATTACATCTCCACCCCTTTTTGACTTTGCGAGAATAATTTTCAACATCACCGGTGGACTTCGGTTCATATTTCAATTCATCTATTTTGTCTTACCGCCGTTCGTCGATCCATCAACATGTAGAGCCGTCTCGTATGTTCACGCGACTGTCAACCTGCTATATAGAGGATCTTTACCCGCGTTTTTATTATTGAGATTAAGGATAATCGGTGAAAGTATCAGTAACATCAATAACAAAATCAATTACAACAGAAAATCGGATAAATGGATTTCTTGCGTTTTATTACTTTTATTTTCCACGAGAATGATTTTACAAGTAATAGTATTTAATGAATGATGATGTTTTTATATATATATATTAATATTAATATTTCATTAATATTAAACGATTCTTATTGTCGATAGATTGCGCACATTGGATTTTTAGGACAAACAATAATTACAAAGCCTTCGCCGTCAAATCTCCGTCCAGTTTATTGTGATCCAAATCTTACAGCCGGTTCTCTTGTTTGGGGATGGGTTATAGCAGATTTCCTTATCGATATATTTGTAACTATTCAAATGGTCAGAATTTTCCATGAAGCAAACAAAAACCATAAAGATTTATCTACGAATTCATCGCAAAGTGTTCGAGGATCATTATATTTAGCCATCATATTTTGGCACCTGATCAGAATTTTTATTGCAATTTTATTGAATTTAAACACTGTCATTGATGCAGCACCAAACAATTTGGATCCAATCATTAGCCCAACGGTGAATTTTGTCATTTGTATTGCAATGTCATATGTTATCACCTACGATAAAGACATTGTGAAAAATATCACTGTTGGACTTGATGCTAAAACTAGTAATGATATTACCGAGAGCAGCAAAACACTCGTGTAGGTGCTAATAATAATCGTATAGTGTTAATTTAATTATTAAAGTTAAAGTAAACAAACAGCATAACATTTTTGTCTTTATTAACCGAGAGATCGTTAGACCTCAGAATATATATGAATTTTTTCTTGCTTGTTTTTCTCTCTCTCTATCACCATATACTTGTTATTTGTTGTTGGATTTATAAGCATAAAAATAATCTAAACGAAAGTTACGAACTTTATTTGTATCTCGTCAATTGAAAAAAAAGAATGTTGTCCCGCATCTCAATATCGAGAGTCAAGAACGCTTGTATATTTTCTTTTTATTCCTTGTGATTTTGTTGTTGTCTGTATGAATTGAATGATTTCTAAATATGTTTCATAAGTTTCATTCATATAGCTCTTTAACGATTTTAGGGTCAATTAATTTTTTCTATCCCTATTAGCGGCTGATTGATAAAGTAGTTTAAATTAATTGACTCGCTTCAAATGGCTCAATGTTTATTATTATTGTATGGGTTGCAGGGTCCAAAATTTAGTATTAGTGGAGTTAGTGATATAATATCTAAAAAAGGATAATTTTTATTATAAAAACACCATCAATTCACTCATTTTCACCTAAAAAATCAAATAAATTTAAAAATGTTACCTTCATACTAATTGGACTATTCCTTGGCTACTTTTTTCATCATAAACTTGCAACCAGCTTTATAATACTAATCAATACGATAGAGCTTGGAAAGGTAAAAAAATTAAAAATTAAATCCAATTGAACAAAAATATTGAGAAGTTATGGAAGGATTTTAAAAAATCATTTTGATAAAAAGGCTGAGTTGGATCAAGATTTTTCATTTAATAAAATGGCAAATGAGATCAAAAAGTTGCTAAGAATTGCAGCCTCCACCATTAAAGAAAATCCAATCCTAGAGAAAGAACAGTAGATGCAATTCAGGGAGGGGTAAACAAGGAAAATAACAAAGAGATGGAGATCAAAAGAAGATACTTACAATTGCTTTTGATCCGAGTATTTCCCTCCCATATAATTGCTCTGATAGTTTTATGACAAAATATGAATTAGCGAATAAATAGACAGAGGTTCACATTAAATAATTAAAAATTATATAAATTAATTTCTAAAGTCCTTATCCCTCAATAGTACCTAACAAAAAAAAATTTGTTCAAAGTTTGAAAAAAGCTCACAATTTATAATCACAAATTCACATCACCAGATTTTCTTATAACAAACCAGACAACCATTGATGAAAAAAATCAGACAGCCCAACTAGAAATATTTGTAGTTATCACAAATCAAATAACTATAGTTTCACCCTACATAAGATTTAACTACCAAATCATCTATAAAACAAAGACCACCAATGACAGGAATAAAAATACTAGAAGAAGCGTACATCTTATACGGAAATCCTCTACAACTTTACTTTTAGATAATCATTATCATTGTCGAGACTACTTACCAAACATTAGAATAAACCAATTACCAAGAATGTTGCTCAGCATTAAGTTGTTATTAATAAGGAGTTAATTGCAAAGCCATGCAACTTGAGAGAAATCTATGTTGAATTCCTATCGAATACCATCAACCGATACGGTGTCTTCCTTCCACCACCAAACCAACACTAATCACTACTTACGACTTTTCAACTATTACTACTATTAGATCGCAATGAAATTTTGTCTAATCTAGGTTGAATTAGTCATGACCAGTGTTGTGACCCGAAACTCTGAGTTTAGGGAAAACCAGAAACAGAAACTAACAGAAACCACCCGAAACTAGTTTA